TTTTTGTGGAGTTTTCCCTTTCAATGCTACAACATTAACATCCATACGCTAGACTATAACCACGTGCCGTTAACAGCAATTGGGATCAGAGACGAAGAAAGCATTTAAAAATGGCGGATGGCGGGCAAAATAATTCAAGGGGACCTTGACAAGGTTAATTTTGTATGAAGTAGGCGATTCTTACTTTGAATATCCTGGCCCAATCGATCTCTTATCCACACGCAATATGACAGGACCACAAAGGGGCCTGTGGGGTCCAGAGAATAGCATTGAACCTACCGTGGGGAAACAAAGAAAAAACGAGTAAACATTTGCTAAATATATTTTCAATGGCAACGCCAGGCACTGGGATCTGGGGGGAGGGGCAAAGCAAACATTTTTAGGCCCCGCCCTTTTTACCAGCAAAAAACGCTCTTTTGCCAACAAGGAACGCCAATTTTACTTAAAGAAACGCCCATAGTTAATGTTTGGTTACGTGAACGCATATTGAAAATCATAGAATTACATCACAAAAAGTACGTTGCCAAAATATTACCCCTCCCCCAACATTTTTTCATCGAATTTAGGGGAAATACAAAATTGATCCAGCCAGGAAATGGGGGGGGGGACTTGACATGTATATTTAGGCCCCGTGGCGCCGCTATTGAATATTTTGCATTAATAATATTGTAGCTGGGAGTCTTAGGGTAAGCTGTGATTCAGTGACCTCCAAGAACAAACTATACAAATAAATTAACTGACCCGCAGGTAGTAGCAATACCATAAATATCAATGGAATAAGTCCTTTATTTTCTTCTTTCTTGTTGTAAACATTCTCAATCTGAAACAAAGAAGCTAGCATTTGCAATGTCCTCTCAAGTCAAGGGCATAGACATCCTCTCTTATTATTCAAATGGTAAGCTTCTCTAATGCATCTGTATACTTGGCAGATTAAATGGTATCTTTTGGTTTCCGATTATATTTGCTCGCAGACTTATACTATTCCTACTCATCTGAAGCCAGTCAGGATTAATATTTCCTGGTTTCGCCGCTTTACATTTTAAGATTGTGATATGATTCTACAGCTTCTACTAAGTGTTTTTAAAACAGAGATAGAAATCAAAACAATGCATGCTCGAAATATCATGACCGTGTCCAATAAAATGATCGTAATCCAAACAAAATCTACACTTGCACACTAACTTATATTGAATGTTTGCACTGCATTATGGTCTTGGCCAAGCCAAGCCTCAAAACCACGAGAATGCCAAATTGTGACGTCATAAAAAATTTCTATAATATTTTAATTTCCAATCGCAAAATCAGCGCACTGTGTTGGGTGAGATTTTGTCTAAATAAAAAGTTTAAAGTTTGCTTTAATTGATAGTACATTGACAGCAGTGTTGGTTCTGTCGGCACAGGGAAATGAAGCCACATTTTGCAAGTTTCATACAACAAGGAGGGAGCTAGCCTGCGTGTAACCTGCATCTGACCCTTACGAAGAACCTCCTTCGTGCGGGTCAGAGTCTGCACGCAGGCTGGGAGTGAGCGTGCCTATCTTGCCTTAGTTTCCGATGAAGCCTTAGACATTAATTTGTGATTCCAGTTGTAATTTAGCCAAGCCGAGGCAGTTCTCAATTCAGCGAACAGTTCAGTGTTGTAGTGTTGATCAACCTAAGAAGAAAAATTTAAATGACCTCTTTTTGGTCTTTATTTGCTTGGAAAAGGGAATCAATTCATAACATTGACACAGACTCTCTCCAAAATCTACTTTAATAACCAGTTCCTTGGTTGATAGGAGCATATTAATTTTGGTGAACAAGTTTACCTGTATGAATATGGTTTTATTATTATTATTATCATTATTATCATATTATTATTGAACTGAAGTCTCAAATATTACAAGGTATAGCTTGACTGTCATATGAACAACTTTGGCAGATAAATGTTTTGATGAAGCCTTAAAGCTTATCGCAACAGAACATCTCAAGTTTTGCTCATGGAAGATCTTTTCAATAAGAGAGCAAGATATTTATCGCATTAATATTGAAAATTAAATCCTTGCATATAAATTCAATCCAGTTGTGCAAAAATGCTTGTTATCAAAAACATTTGACACCATCCATTAAGGAATGTCCTGCATTTTAAAATTTCTATTTCATACTCATTTCAAGTTCTATTATGGATTTGATAGTGATTGCCAAAACAGGGCAACTATAAGTCTTTTGCTATGCAAATCGTATAAAGTATATGGCAGCTATTGTCAAACATAGATGCGATTAAATCCAGTTAATATACCACAAGCCACTTGCAGAATTTTTTTGAGTCTGTTTACATTTAACCTATGATTTTTCTCAAAAGTTAAAGTCTTGTCATTCAAGGAAATGACCTAGTGAAATCTATCATACAAACAACGAGAATGTGCCTTTTGTTGGCCTTTGTAAGCGGATGAGTGCATTCTGTTCCCAAAACTCTCATCACATTTTGACTTCCGTCTCCGAATCTCAACTAAGAGTCACTCTCGAATGAATTGTGCACAAAAAAAGCTTTCTAGAAGTTTATAATAGTATTGATACATTTATACTGTATTTCCTAACTTGCATAAAATGGGACTATTGTCTTCCGGATCATGCGGTGGCGTTATCTCAAGCTGGTGTCTTGGTTGCATAAAACCACGCAAAGATGAAATGAATCAGGAAAGTATAGGAAGATAGACAGTAAAAGATGAACGTCCTTAAAGCAACGCAAATTTAAGAGGTTTCAGTTTAATTGAAAAGAAACTGTCGCCCATTTGACATCTTTCCTTATATCAGCAACTGCAAAAGTAACTGCAATTGTGCTCACTATATTGTCATCTACATACTTTGCACCAGAAAAGAAAGATTAAAAGCCTGTAGCTTTTCTAAAAGGATATTCTTTTATTCACAATATGGGCCTTCATGTTACATTTTCAAACCTTTTTGAATTTTCAGCAGTTGTTTACAAAAAGATTCATGGAAGTATGGGTCTTGAGGATGTCTTGAAAATGAAATTGGCTATAAATCGACTTTTCTGCCGCTGATGGTCTGAGCTTTAAGAGCGACCGTTAATTTCTAATCTTTGTTTCCTATTTATTACCAAACTTTCCTAGCCAAACTCGTAAATTTTTATGATAGGCGCTGTCACCTACTTTTCGGTATTTTCAAATCCCCTCTCGTGTACGAGGAAGAGAAAGGAGTATTAACATGACATGTGATCGAAGGTTTCTAAAATCCATGTAACATAAAGGAACAAATTTAATTTTGTGAAATGTGAAGGAGG